AGGTACTTCATGAGATCACTCTATTGCCAAAATTTCAGTTCTCTAACAAGATCCACTCATGAGCTATGCATATGCACAAAATACCGAAAAAATGACTGTTTTATCGTGTAGTTGCTAGTACGATTAATTCATCAACAATTCACTCGTCTGAATCTAATTTTTTCTGTGATAAGTACATCAACTTGAGATCTATGCACAATAAAAATTTCAAGCTAAATCAATTTATTTTTAATGCGAATCACAAAAATTGTGCTTTTCTGGCAATAGCGCCCTCAGAAAAATTTTAGTATCTCCAGAATGGAACAATATTTTTTCAATCGCCTTGATTCAAAATTCTTAAAACTATTTTCTCTACCATATATATTAGATTGAGGAGAATCTGATGATCACGATTGAGCAACTTCTATGTACTAGCTCTTATATATCAATATAGTCAATAATTTAAAATTTGAATAACTCGATTCAGACTCGCCATCAACAGCTCATAGTTTTAATTTGATAGTTACTCATGAGGACGAAAATTCGACCCGAATATAGTTAATCAAACCAAGGGACATGACAAACAGTTCGATTGTTAGTAGGGCAGTGATATTATTGATATAGCAGAGTCATATTAGAAATGGACATAGAGAAGTATGAACTACTTAATTCAATTCTAAGTTTAGACAAAACTCAACAGTTCATGTCAAAGTTTGTCGAGAGCAAGGATAATGTACGTGTGAGCTTATTGAATGTTTATATCAATGTGTATAGCAGGCTACTATTGGGATTGAACCAACGAAATGAAGGATAAAATGATATTTACTACTTCCTATGATATGTATCGTATCTATTATGAGGAGAAAAGAAGTTAGGGGTTCAACAAATCTTGAGTAAGATTTAGGATTTGAGCTTCGATTTATACTTAAGATTGTAGCTAGTTTTTGGATTTGGATTTGTAAAACAGTAGAGCTAGTTGGAAATTTGATAACTTACATATACAGAGTGTGAGTGGGATGCGAGTGTAAGTAATTGTGCAGCAGCTTCAGCTTAGGCGCCATGAGTAGGCATGCACCTAGCCCGAACTTCCCGGGTTTCCCGAAACTCGAGTTCGGTGTTCCCGGGTTCGGTCATTCCCGGGGTTCGGTCGTTCCCGGATTCGGTCATTCCCGGGTTCGGCCATTCCCGGGGTTCGGTGATTCTCGGGGTTCGGTGATTCACAGGGTTCGGTCGTTCCCGGGTTCGTAGTGGTACCCATGGATCCTCAAGTCCCACTGTAGGGGGCTACCCTTAGGTCCTCAAGCCCTACTATAGGAGGTACCCTTACGTCCTCAAGTTGGGATCGACAAGCTCAGCCCATGCTCAAAAATGATGAGCTGTTGAAAAAGCTCACTGAGACGAACTGAACTGCTCGAAAAGCTCATTTGAACGAACCGAGTTTTTTCAAACAGGTCATTTCAGATGAGCTGAACTGTTCGAAAATCGATAGAGGGTCCTCGGTAACCCTAGGATTGGCCCGAACATGACTAGTGGTTGTCCAAAAAATAAGAAAGAAAAGGGCTCCTGAAATCTGATTGGTCAGTTTTTTGACCAATCCGAGACGGGGATTCTATTTCACCACAAAGGGAACGACCGGGACCCCCACATATACCCATCAATCGATAGAGCGTCCTCGGTAACCCTGGGATTAGTCCGAACCCCTATCGAGTAGCCCTTGAGGATCTATGGGTACCCCCTACAGTAGCACTTGAGGACCTAAAGGTATCTCCCCATAGTGTGATTTGAGGACCTAAGGTTACCCCCTATAGTAGGACTTCAGCGCCTAAGGGTATCTCCCTACAGTGTGATTTGAGGACGCAAAGATATCTTCTACAGTAGGGCATGAGGACCCATGGGTACTACTATGAACCCGGGAATGACCGAACACCCGGGAACGACCGAACACGAGAATGACCGAACACGGGAATGACAGAACCCGGGAACGACCGAACCGCGGGAATGACCGAACACGGGAACGACCGAACCGCGGGAATGACCGAACACGGGAATGACAGAACCCGGGAACGACCGAACCCCGAGAACGGCCGAACCCATGGAATGGCCGAACGCGGGAATGGCCGAACTCGGGAACGACCGAACTCCGGGAATGACCGAACCCCGGGAATGACCGAACCCGGGAATGACCGAACCCGGGAATGACCGAACGCGGGAATGGCCGAACTCGGGAACGACCGAACCCCGGGAATGACCGAACCCGGGAATGGTCGAACCCGGGAACGACCGAACCCCGGGAATGACTGAACCCTAGAAACGACCGAACCCGGGAATGACCGAACTCTGGATTCCCGGATTGTTCCCGGGTTCGGTGCATGCCTAGCCATGAGCTGGAGCTATTTGCTAATCCAGCTTCCGTGAGCTGGAGCTCCATCTAGGAGTGATCCCTAAAGCTTTTCAAGGGCTATTCTGAGATGGTCCCAAGAACGTTTCTAGGACTATCTATGGGCAATCTCTATAACTTTTCTAAGAGTTCAGAGAGGTGGCCCTTAGAACTTTTCTAGGGTACCTAGGGTGGTCTCTGTAACTTGCCAAAGGGTACCTAGGGGTGGTGTCATTGGAACTTTTCTGAGGGTACCCAGGGGCAACCTCTATAACTTTTTTAGAAGTACCTAGAAGGTGATTTCTACTACTCTTCATGGCCTATCCGTGACTGGTCTCAGTTACGGCTGGATAATTTGTTTAAATTCGACTAAATTAAGCGAAGTAATTCAGTTTTATCATCTCACACTTAATATGAAGTTCACGTTCTACACTTTGAAACTTACTTTTTATAGTTAAGTGTGAATAAAAAGTTTACTATTTGATACGCGCTTCACCTAAAATTAAGTTTAAGTGATTGTGCCTGGCAAATATCATTTAATATCGAGTTTTTTCATCACTGGTATAAGGACAGACGATGCCATTGTTTGAGACATAGGAAAAAGGACCCTGCTATTCAGTAGGTTGATCGAATATTGCTATATTTCGTACTTGCAGTAAAGCAGAAGAACCCTTCTGGAATCTGATTAGTTGATAATTTCTTGTTATAGACGAATCAGATGCGAGGAAATCTGTTTATTCTCTATTTCAAGGAAAAAACAGTGTTGTTCAGATCAACCTTGGGAATATATGGGATTGTCTTTGTGTGACCCGAATATCATCACGGTGAGTCCTTAGACTAGTGTGGAGAATATATCATTGAATCTAATTGGTCGATACAAACAGCCTACCAACTAATCAATTTTCAGAAGAATTGTTTTACGTTACTGTAAGGACGGAATATGGTGGTGTTCGAGCCAATGTAAGAGGTAGCATGGACCCTCTTTCATATGGCCCGAACAAAAGCATGGCTAATCTCTAAACCAATAATGAAAAACTCGAAATTTAATGACAGTTAGTCAACACAATCACTTCAACTTAGTTTTGAGCGATTTAGGTGTTAAGTAAAAAAACATAAACTAAATATTAAGTGTTATGTAAGAATACCAAATTACGTCACTTAATTGAGACAAATTGACAAAAATGCTCCATCCATAATAGAGACCATTCACGGAAAGGCAGTAAAAAGTTGTAGAGATCACCCTTAGGAATCTCTAGAAATATTGCAGGGAACACTGATAGGTAGCTCTAGAAAAGTTCTAGGAATCGCCTCTACATACTCCTTGAAAAGTTATAGCGACCACTCTAGAGTAAGCTCTAAAGAGTTATAGAAACCACTCCCAGATACCCGCAGAAAAGTTCGAGGGATCACCCCTAGGTCCCTCTGGAAAAGTTACTGGAACCACTCCTAAATAGTCCTAGAAAAGTTCTAAGGGCTACTCCTAGACTGCCTTAGAAAAATTATAAGGACGGCCTCTTAATAACCCTAGAAAAGTTCTAGGAATCACCCCAAGGTAGAGCTCCAGCTCACAGTAGCTGAGCTGGGGAACAGCTCTCGCTCAGCAAACTGAGCTGGAGATATCACATAGCTAGGTATGAGTATTTGGGCGGGTGTGGATAGGTTAAGGACAGAGCAACACCCACACTCCATTCACATCCACACCCTATATATGTAGGTTAACAAGTCTCAAATTAGCTCTGTTGTTGTTACAAATCCAAAGCCCAAATCCTATATGCCAATGTCAAATCCAAATCTTAAATACCAAATCCAAACTATTTCATATCAATTTCGAAGGCTTCGGATTCGTTGCGTCCTTATGGTACTTTATCTTACAGAGTCTCGTCGGAATTGAGTCATTCAAGATCAAATCCAAACTCGAATCCAAACCCAAAATTCAAGTCCAAATCCAATTTCAACTTTGTTGTATACCAAATCCCAAGGCTTTGGATTTGTTGCACCTATAGAAGAAGTTATGTGTTAAAGATGTAGTTGGGAATATAAATAAGGCTTTTCAGTATAACGATGTTAAATGAAACAAGTACATTGGCAAAATAATAATTTTAAATAGAAATATTTTCGAAATGATAAAATTTCAGAAAGTCTCTATCAAGTATAAAAAGTGTTCTAATTTTAATTTATTCATTTATTTGGTGTTGTTTTTTGATAAATTATTTTAACTCCTCTAATAATATACCATAAATTTATAGCCATCAGTGTTTGTAAGTTCCATACTTTTGCCTCTTGAGGAGTCTCAATGACAAGTTTTTTAGCAAGTTGCAATAGCTTCATGAACTGTATGCAAGCGGAAATTGCATTATTCAAAACGACGACTTGGGCAGCCCATTTTAATGGTTTTCAGGTCGATTTTAGAAAGAACCATAGGGGTATTATTCATCTGGATAATAAAAAGCCTTCAGTATTCTTTATGTCTCAATATTTTGTTCTTTGTCATCGTCAAAAAATCACGATCCTAACGGAACATGGTGATTTGAGCTTTTTATTGAGTTGCGAAATAGAAACAGACATCTATGTTCCTTTATCGTTAAGTGATAAATCATTACTCATTGTTTTAGAATTTATTATTGTAAAAAAAACAATTAAACTTATGTCAAAAGCGGGAAAACAAGGAATCGATGATCTATATGAAGTCCCAACCACTACAAAGTAAAATGTTTACTCAGTCCTTGATCGTTTTATTATTATCAATATATTATTTTTTATTTATCTATAGATGGACAACACGAAAGAAAGTTATTGTGGGTGTAGGTATAGCTGCAGCTGTAATCGTAGTAGTCGCTGTTGCAGTGGTTCTTGGTGTGCTACTTTCGCGAAAAGGAGGTAAAGCAATACCTATTGGTTTCATATATTTAAGAGAGGAATATTGTGTGCTGAATGATAGAAAATAATTTTGAAGATGAATTTCTAGGTCGAGGCAAACATAGATTGCACGCGTTCTGAATAAGTATCTCGGAATATGTGCGAGCGTAGCGAACATGTTTCTTGCACCGATCGTAGACGTGTTTTTCATGATGTTTGATGTTGCTACCAGAGATGTTCAGTATGGCTAGAAATCTGCCGTTGTCGCGTCGCGATCCTAGAAGGGCCAAGGCTTAGCGTCGCTGCCGTAATAGTTTCCGAGAAACTCTACGAAAACCTCTTCTGCCACTGTGCTAAACTATCATAGTTGGATTAAATCCATCAGACTCAATCTCGAGTCTGACTATTGGACTTGTAGACACTTAAATTGGGTGTGGACTCATCCAATTTTACAATCTTAATAAAAAAGAAGCTGCCGCTAGCGCGCCGCTTTGGATATCTCTGGTCGCTACACACATGCATGCTAATTGGTTTCCATAGGACATCTGACAGTTGGTCCTGTACTCTGTGACTATAATTCAGCTGCTGTTACAGTGAGAACAAGTTTCTCACGTCAAATCTTCTCTCTTTTACAATCCTCGGAAGTAAGGAACTCTTGCAAAAAAAAATAAGAGAAAATTTTAAAAGTCAAGATGTAGATTTCAAAGCACAAAAGTTCACAAATAAAAAATACTTCCAGAAAGATACATTTCGTGGTGAATCAGCAAACCAAAAAACGGGAAAATCTTATGAAATAACGAAAAAGTTACTTGTTCGAGAAGCAATATTGTTTTTAACCATTGCTTACTGTTGAAATTGTTGTTGATTCTTCATTTTCATAATTTGTTGTTCTTTTGTTTGACTTGGACTGTCGATAGATTCTACTATCTATAAGAAAAACACGGTGATATATATTATCATTACCAATTAACACGCCATTTTCAACTGGTAAAGATTTATATGAGTCTTCATCAGCAATATGTTCCTATAAAAATTGAAGAGCATTTGTGTTTAACATACTTGCATCATCGTTATCATCATAATCATCAAAACAATAAAAATAAAGAACAAATGTTAAGATTGTAGCAGACATAAGTTAGATGTAATCAAAAATAAACCTAATTCTACTAACTTCCGTCAAATGTCTCTTCTAGTCAGACGTTGATAATATTTTCTTGTTCTTCATTATCATTTAATTAGCAATTGAAATAATAATATCGTTTACATTTGCTATCGTGTAAATAAAAATTTAAAAAAAAACATATTTCAAGTATGTAGAAAGCTTTGCATCAATATTCACGCTCAACAAGCCAGTTACATTATGGCCGTAATGATGTTAACATAGGGATCGATCAACTCTAGTTCATACAAGTTCAGATCAAATGAGTTAATAGACTGATCTGTTCACATAGTTCATTTCATATGATTAGATCTGTGGAAACAGTTCTTGGAATTGTGAGCTGGTGAAAAATTTTTATTTCTAAAGTAGAACAGTTTGACTCTGTTCTGAAAACAAAACTTTTTTCGGACACTTCAGTTCCCATAAGAGAATGTTTTCAACATGTTCCTCAGATTGGCGATATTGCCGAACTGTCTCGCCTCCAATTAAAACTCAAGATATTATAAACTAAAGAATGTATCTGCGCGAATTATTATGAGTTGTTTTTCGCTTGTTAAAACACTCCTAAATTAAGTCTCTCTAAGCCCATATAAAAAACATTCAACAAAACTAGTTAGCGAAAACTAGACTTCTATCTACATGTTCATCCTTTGCGGGAATATATGTAAGATACACTCTGATAAATGAATAATGATATTATGTTTTGGTTTTTGATAATATATGATGATACAGTTCTGCGAACACATGTTCAGGCAAATTAATAACGATGCATATCTAGAAACTGTTGTCTTCATATAAAGTATAGGAGACATCTTTCATAAAATGATAAAACTTGTTACAAGTTTTAATTTTGTGTCGCTACACATCAATAATGCGAGAATCGTTCTTATTCAAAGAATAAGAACACTTTCAAAGTGGTGAATGAAAAATAAAAAATGTATAATGGTGAATGAAATATAGGTTATATAGTTAGCTTCGAAAATAGATGTAAGAGAATGGTGGTTACATTTTTGAGTGGACAAGCTTCAGGAGTGCGAGTGAAATTATTGTTATAGGAAACGAGGAATATTAACTCCACAAAGACTGAGATATTGTTAGTAAATATTTGTAGACTTTTCAAAACAAAGTAGTAATTCACTCAAGTAAATTCAGGTTACATGTAGTTATTATAACTGCTGACAGCAACTAAAATGTCATACTCACGTTTTGATTAAAATTAGGTACAAAAAAAGAATTTAAAATATTAGAAACTACAATACTCAGGTTGATCTATAGTAACTAAGTATGATGTCAGAACTTAAAGTTTTAGCTTGACTAGCTTGGTTTTAGAACACTTCAAAGTAATTTCTAATATATCATTTAATATAGAATTGAGCGGGTTACAAAACAAAGTTATTATATTATTGAAAACCGTCTTTTGGCGGGACGGTTTGATCAAAATACTGCAAAATAAGGAAATTTTGCAGTCTAACGGAGCATTGTATGTGGAATTTTTTTAAAATTCTATATTGACATGAAGAAGAGATGTTATATAGATAGTTTTGTAGAGCAAGTACTGCTCTATCGATTGCTATGTGGTTCAAAAGAAAAGATAAAACACTGCGAAGAAAAAAAAGACAAATTTGATATGATGTTACGTATGAAATAACTAAAATATAGTGGAAGCGATCGATATTCAGTTCTGACTATCTCATCTTGCGAACGTTTTGAAACAGGGTTTAATATATGATTCGGTGTAGAATAAAACGGGCTCCAAAACAAAATAAAACTTTTTTATAATCAATTTTTGAGCTAGACATTTTGTTTAAATACCAAAAAAATAGAAGAAGTTTGATATGCTGAAAAACCACTATGTGGACTCTTTCGATTCTGTATTGAGGTTAGAGTGAAATGTTATATATGTATAGTTTTGTAGAGCAAGTCAAACTCTATCCATTGGTACATAACTCGATTTGAGGAGTGAAAAACTTTCAAGAGAAAAATACGCAAAAGCGATAGATCAATTTTTGACAATTTTGATGTGTATGCCAAGAGGTGTCTTAGATAGGCCCACCCTGTCCGACCAGAAGCAAATCTTTAGACCCTTATACATTGGATTATTCTATAGTATATAGAGGTCTAATTTCCTATAGAGCCAGATTCGAAATCAGTTTACTCCTAAATTTTCGCTATTTCTGATTTTTTGATGGAGTGTTACTTAATAAACACTTATATAATATCTTTGCTTTACGTGCAGATACTACAGCAACAAGTGATGCTTCAGTTGTTTCTGTCTATTGGTCTTTGGATGGTGTGACATCAGATTCATCAAATACTTATAATGGTACATTAGTGAATAGTGCATCCTATTTCTCACAATCAAATACGCAACCATTTGTTGCTTACGGCCGAGGACTTAGTTTATCATCAACATCATCGCAATATATGACCGTTTCAAGCCCATTTCTTGACCTTAGTTCTAGAAGTTTTACCATTGAAGCATGGATTTTTTCATCAACCGTTTATTCTGGTGATTATGGTATATTTGGTCAATGCCAATGTAGTACATGCTCTAACCAATGTTTATATTTTCTTGTTCGAGGAAGTTATTTATATGCTGGTTTTACATCAAACGATATAAGTGGTTTAACAAATATAAGCAATAGTCTGTGGTATCATGTTGCTTTTGTTTATAATTATAATACAAAACAACAAATCTTGTATGTTAATGGAGTACAAGATAATATCAAATCAAGTGCTAGTGCTTATCAAGGAACTAATGGAACAATCAACATTGGTTCAACAATTGTTCTTTCAGTAAGGAGCTATTTCAACGGTTATATTGATAATGTAAAAATAACCACACGTGCAAAAACATCTAGTGAACTTCTTACTACTGCTACATTAGCCGGTTATTTTGCATTCGATGCCTCTGCTCCATATAATGATAATGGTCCCAATGGTTTTAATGGAACACAAAACAATGCGGCAATAACTTCTGGTCGTGTCAATGAAGCAATACGTTTTACTGGTTCATCGTCTTATTTTTCTGCATATGGTTTTTTTCAAGTTGGTTATGGAGTTTATGCAAATAGACCATTTTCAGTTTCTTTATGGATAAATCCATCAGCAATTACTTCTTGTACTATAGTACAATTTGCTTATTCTTTAACAAATTGGGCATGTCACAATTTAATTGGTATTTGGACCTATTCTAATTCAGTGGGACAAATTCATGTTCAAGGATGGTCTTGGCCGATAATTCTTGGTTCATATCTTACCGTAAATACTTGGACACATGTTTCAGTAACATATAGTTACACAAACGGACTTCGTTTATATGTTAATGGAGTCTATTTTGGTAATACTGGTAGTTTTTCATTTAGTAATTCTGGTTATATAACATATTTAACATTGGGATACATGTATTATTGTTCATCAGGCAGTATTTCAAATAATGGTTATCAAGGCTCGGTGGATGAAGTATATATACACAGTCGTGAAATCACACAAGCTGAAGTTACGGCACTTGCTAATCCATAAAAATGAATGAAAACGAAAAAAGAGTCCACCATGACAGACAATTCTATGTTTTTTTTGAAGATACTTGACTATTTGATTCCAATTTTAATTCATACATACATATCCTTCTTTTCTGGGTGTTTGTGCATTGCTTTTAGATATAAAATATTGGCAAAAAGTGTTTATTTATGATGTAATGAGCATGTTTAAAACACAATTAGTAGCTATTTGGTGTTTTGTTTGTTTCACCTTAGTTTTAATTAGTTACACGAAATCATTGAAAAGTATGCTTGAACGAAATGATAATTTTTCATTTTGATTTCCATATAACCAACTGATACGCAGAGCTGATAATTTCGGACGATGATTAAACATGGATAGTAGATAATATACGTTGGAAAAGGTATTTTCTTAAGACATGATCTTCTTCTGGCGGAGAAAAGTTTTGAAAAAATTATGTCGAACTGCAGTAAATGGAAACTCAGTTTCATTCGATGAAATTAAACTTCGCGAGTCAGACCGTTTATTCCATTCATATAAGCCACCAAAAGTCGCAGTTTTCTCATTTTTACCCTAAATCATCCGATGTAGCTCAGGACGGATAGTCTTTCTTGAAATTTTTGCAGTCCTTTTAACCTGCCCTTCCATAGGCTGTACAGTCAACTTTCTCAAGTCTCATAACTCCAAAGACAACTTGCTGTGGTAGATTCATTGCGAAGACTATTAGAAGATGTCTTATAGATAGTAGGGCAAGACATCCTCTTTATCTGTTCATAGTTGTTTGCACTTCGTTTACTCAGTATACGAAACAAGAAAAGCCAATAGAGTCAACAGCTTTTTTTTTGACTGTCACAAATGCGTTTTTCTCAAAACTTTGTCATGCATATGACTGATAATGATAAATTGTAATTAGAGGTGATTTCACTACTATATGTGGGATCGATAGAAGCTGAATATCTAATCCTACGGCGTTAGAAATCTTGAGAAATTGTGATATTCGAAAACGTATCTTTGGCTTTTCTGTTCAAATCGTAGTTTACGCGTGGAAATTAAGGATTATGGTTTTAAAATACCGAAGAAGACTCTCATGCATCTAGCTTTGCTCAATGTATTTTATCGCAGGTAGAAAAGCCCAATTATAATTAAATACAGCGCGGTCAATGAAATCTCAAGTAACCGATTAAAACCACGATTGGACATGGTTTCAGTGAAGAGTTTATTTGATGAAGTTGTGACAGGACTGCCCGCTTCAGTCTGACTTTCTAGCAACTTTTATGCATGTCAATATTAGAAAAAGTAATTCATAGTAATAGTTGACAATACTAATAGAAAGCACACAAGATACCTAAATCATTTTAATATGATAAGATCACATTTTCGTTGACTGAACTCACCAGGTCAAAAGCATACGGCGGGCAACGGCCAGATCTGACTATTTTTTCGATGAATTCTGGAAGCAAGATTCCAAACTAGTTCCGGATGCCGGTTCCGACTTAATTTCCGTCAATTTCTGTGCTCGGTATAAATCACCGGATACGGTTGTCGCTTTCCGTACGGTTTCGAGCTATGGTTCCAATGTTTTCCATCAGATGACACGATCCGCTCCGTATCATATCGGTTCTGATCCGATTATGAAATTTGCATCCGGTCGTTTCCTACTCGACTGTAGAGCTAGGGTCCGATAACGAGATACGACAATTCGGTCTGGTCGGTAATTTTGTCCTTGTCAACCCCATGATAGTATTAGCTTGCATTTCATGAATCGCCGACTGCTATGAGCGGTATCCCTGATTATGCTAGTAGCTTTCCAGACGATACTTATAGCATCTCAGACGATATCAGTAGCACAGTGCTGTTCCCAAAAAAGAGATAAAGCCCTGAAGACAGTTGAGCTAGAGCTCCCATACATTTGCCTATGAGTCATCAAGTAGCACACTAGACGGACTATTCACTAGCGGACGGTCTTCATCCTATATATAAGAATGCACAATATGCTGCATTTCATTCTAGTCGCAATGCACGTAGAGGTAACAGATATTAAAAATATATTGAAATCCACCACACTACAAATCAAAGTTCCAGAAACGCAATCCAACACTAAACTCCTTGATGATTCAATGAATAGTTGCCGTCATACCTATAGAAGCTTTGCATACCTGTACTGATAAGTGACAGGTGAGAATTTAAATACCTTTTAAATCCAATCCACAAAAAAAATCTTTTTGAGACTTCTTAAACTACTCCAAAATAGCAAGCCATAGCAACTAAACCTTTAAAAAACTGAAAAACTACGAAGGATATGGGTTATATTGAGAATCTTTTTTTTGACTGATCCCTTATTTACGAGGTATTTTGAAGACTGCAATCGTTATGTCATAGAAGGGAGCATTTTAATATATTTTCGAGAAGCATACGTTATTTACAAAGTATTTTAGAGAGTTAAATGTATGTTTCGAATGAGAAGCATGTTTAAATGTTTTTTTTCACTAATAAGTAATGCAGACGATATTTTGGAGAGCGTAAGAAGATTTCCAGTAGAAAGAATGTTGGTCCGATTGTTGACGGAAACTGTGTAATTTTTGTGATGTCGCCGAAAGAATACGGTGTTTTGCTGGTGCGACTCTGGGTGGAAACAGTTGCGATTCCGTGTTTTCCCATTCGTATAGGGTGTACTTCCGTTTTGATTCCGGTTGAGGGGATACCGCAGAAAATCCTGTTTCCGGTACGATGATTTTACGGCTGGAATACTGCTTCCAAGGTCACAGAATATTTCCGGCAGGAATTATCCTAGAAAACAGCGGAATTATCCGAAAAAAAGTCGTTTCTGTGCTCCGAAATCGTCAATCTTGGTCTATGTTATTGCGAAATTTAGAAGCACATTATATGAGTTCCAATTGAACAGACAATACATATTATTATTATTTTCATTACGTGTGATGCTACCATAATAATGATGTAAAAATGTTTGGATACCTTTATTGTGTTTTTTGTTAAAATGAGCTAATTTTTATCGACTGATAGGACTAAAGTTTTAAGTTGTTATTCGTAGTGATGATTTCTGTAATAGAATCTCAAAATAATGACTTTTAACTGTCATCCAATATTATATTTTTCTAGTCTTATGAAAACTAATGGAACGTATTTTCTATTATTGTTTTAATTTGTTTCAATAGTAGAAACTATATAACATTCATTTTTCATTGTTACTGTCAAAATGTTCCATATCCATCTTTAAAATGAATAGTCACAGATGCTTTTCTATAAGACAGATCGTTCTTGACACATTGAAAACTGTGATGGTCATAGATTTGAGGAAAGATAGAACAATTTCATCGTCTTCATGACCAGTACAGTTTAAAACATCCCATTTTTTTTTCAAATAGCATCTTGAAACAATTGCTTAAAACGCAATGTTAAGAAGTGGGTATTTTAAAGTTTCTTGTATCGAAACAAATTAAAACAACTATATAGAAGAGGGATTGTATTAGTTTTCTTTTAAGGCTAAAAAAATATGGTGTACCATGAAAGTCAAAAGTCATCATTTCGAGATCCAATCGTAGAAATCATTACTATATAGGAATACGCACTTAGATTTTTCTCCCACAGTCAAAGGAAAACAGCACAGTTCGATAAGATAGAATTAACGCACTCAAATACTTTTATATTATGACTTAGGAGTTTCTATGCGTATCGTTTTTTATATCTATTACACTTAAAAAATCTGTTCATAAAAACAAGTCAATATATTATATAAGAATAAACATACTATGCTTCAAAATATTTTTCAAGGATTTCAAGAAACTATTTTGCAATTTCTAATAAATATTTATTGCATTTGAGAAACTGTCGAGCATTAGCATCAATTCATGAGTTCATAAGATTGAAAGAAAACTTTGTCATATACAAAACACATATTTTCGCATCCACAGGTCGTGATTGCATTTGATAAATAAATAATTTGTAAATTTTGATAAGTGTCTAGTTAGCGAAAAATGTTTTAAACTCTTATATGAGAGTTTGTAGGAACTTCCATTTTCCTATACCATAGAATCAGTTTTGACTCTTTTTGAAAAACTCATTATGATAAGTAGTGGGATCTTTTAGCAGAGGAGAAACTGTTGGTTGAATGGAAATATTGTATAACATATGAATTATAGATAAATAAAATATTAAAAATAGAATATATTTCTTACGTAGAGTTTCATAAAGAAATATAATTATTTAATTTAATTCATGTTTAATAAAATACTAAAAGCATATAGTTATTATTTTAAATAAAATTAATTTATGATAATTTTAATTTATTTTAAATCTAAATTATCAGTAATTCAATTTACTCGTAAATTAAGTTAAAAGTAAATGTAAATGAACACTTCTAATTATCATCAACAACTTAAGTTATTGAAACTAAGTTTTCGAAAAACAATAGAGGAATAAGTAACAAACAGACTAACTGGTCTGTGAGAGGCTACTCCTACAGAAGTCAAGACTACTTATTGCTTGTAACAATCAGCCAGTCTCAACGATCGATTTAACCTTGATATATATCTTATTGATTGTTGTTTGTACTTTGTAACAGTTTTAGCGTGTTGATTGAAGAGTAAACTCGATGAAATTCTTTTTTCTTTCAATCAAATTATTTCTAAAAGATCAAGACACCAGTTCAAAATAGTATCATCCTACAATTACATACCGCTTAAAGACAATTGATTTATACACGAAAAAATAATGGCATAACGTAGAAGGCCATTAATTTGAAAATTAAAAGTCTATAGCTTGTTCAGAAATAGTTTTATTCACTTTTTTTCCAATTAATGATCGCGCATATTTCATTAGTAGACATGACTATTTCAATTCTCAATCCAAATTTTTGAAAATCATCAAAGTTTAGTGATAAAGTTATTTTATTTGTCAAAAATATAAATATAAACGTGAGTCCATTTGTTAAAATGAATTAAATAGTCATGAATAAAAAAGAAATACTATACAAAAAACTATATGAAGACGAAGATTAGTGAGAAAAGGTCATTAAATATAAGTCAAATAAAATGTTGAAATTAAATCAAACAATCTTTATAAACTTGCTAGTGTAGTAACCTCACTTTGAGATATCTCACGACTATGTACATATACTTCATCGATTAAGCCTTGATACCCAGCACTAGTAATATAATTTGATGAACAAATATTCACATATCCCAGTTGGAAATACATTATACGATTAGTATTAGAAAATGAGAAGGTACCAGTAGTACCATAATACACTCCATTCACATATAATCGAAGTCCATTTGTTTGACTGTATGTCACTGAAATGTGTGTCCATGTGTTCAACGTAGCAAAAGGACCATAGATGACTGGCCAAGCCCAGCCTTGTACTATAATTTGTGCTGTTAAACCAAGAGTTGAATAGAAGCCAAGTAAGTTATGACATGTATAAGTAGATAGTGTATAAGCTGTTTGAACTATAGTACAAGCGCTAGCGGATGATGGATTAATCCATAAAGAAACTGAAAATGGTTGGGCGTAAGAAACACCATACCCAATTTGATAAAAACCGTATGCATAAAAATAAGATGATGAACCAGAAAAACGCATAGCTTCATTAAGATGTCCACTGAGCGTTGCTGTATTTACTGATGTTCCATTCAATCCAAGTGGACCACTATCATAAGTAATACCTGATGATACGTCAAATGAAAAATAAGCTGTTAAGGTAGCAGCATTCAAAATTTCTGTAGAAGATTTTGCTCTCGTTGTTATTTTAAAATTATCAATATAACCATTATAATAACTCGTTGTGAGATAAACTCGAGATGCACCAATCCAAATTGATCCATTGGTTCCTTGGTATGGACTTGCATCAGTTTTAGTTGCATCTCGATATCCATTAACAAATAACCTTTGTTGTTTTGTATCATTATTATAAACGAAAGCAATATGATACCAAGTATTACTTGTCAATGTTGCATTACCACTTAAATCATTACTCATGAAGCTCACATATAAACGATATGATCGAATAATAATATATAAGCATTGATTAGAACATGACGAACATTGACATTGACCAAAGATACCATAATCTACGCTACTACTGATTGATGGATAAATCCAAGCTTCAATTGTAAAACTTTTATAAGTAAGATCAAGAAAAGGACTTGAAACAGAAAAATATTGACTTGATGATGAAGTTAAACTAAGACCTCCACCATTACCCACATATGGCTGATTAGTTGTATTTGTAAAGTATGATGCACTATTCACCAACGTTCCATTATAAACATTGTAGAGATCTGTTGTTACAGAATCAAGAGACCAATATGCAATAGTAACAGAGGTAGTAGTAGCAGTCGTATCTTAAATAGAAATTAAATACATTAGCTGAAAATCAAGGATCTTTTATTAAATGATAGTGTTCGTATAACTCAGCTTATGATTGAAAATATTCCTCGATAGATGTAGTTAATCATTTCTGAAAAATGTTTATCTGTTTGCAAAACGCTCATACGAAATGTTGATTAGAATAGGAAAAAACTTATCAGTACAGCCCCATGAAGAGCTAATGTGTGGAACTCACAAACTCTGATTGTTACAAATTTATGGCATGTTATCAGAGGAGTTAAAATATTTTTAAATAAATGCCAACTAAATGAATAAATCAAAATCTTAACAATTTTTATAGTTAATATGCGTGCTCTCACATTTTACTATTTCGAAAATGTTTGCATTTAGAGTTTCTATGAAGGAGGAAATAGCGAAATCCTGAAATCCTGGAATTCGATGGAATTTGAAGGAATCCTATATAATCTTGAAGTATTGAGTTCTTAGATTTATTGCTTTTGTAGAACAATCTTTAGCATACTTAAACTGTTAATAGAACATTTCCAATAAGATTTTTTATAGATGCATCATTCAAAAACTCATGTTTTCAATCATGACTAGACAAATTTATCTCTTTTAGTATGTGTTTTAGGTTACGACTAGAAAACACACGGCACAACAGAATGTAGCGCATAAGTATCAAAACCGTAGAAGAAATTCTTAAATATAACAAGTTTTTAAAAAGAGTCAATAGTAAAAGGAGGATTGACGATAAGACCACTCCTACTTGGATACAATTTCATGTATATAAAAATAGTCAAAAGAAAAAAATCTTGAATCTAAACTCTTAAATACGGAACTTATCATTTTGCAAATAAACATCGCTACGGTGCACATTGAAAAACAAAGAAGAGGTAGGTGTAAGTGTAGACGTGGCTCTTGTCTGCATCCATGCATACACATACAAATACTCACAGTCACACTTATATTACAAACTAAAAATTAATAATTTTAATAAGTATTTATAAGAATGGTCAGTCTCACGGTTAGTGACTGAGAAATCTTAGCGTCCATCGACTGAGAGATTATCACGAGTTATTGCAGCAAGTAAAACTGAATAACAAGCGATTTGAACACTTCTGAATACTTTTACGCTAATTAGAAGATCATTAGTATCAAAACATGTCAAATTTTAGTCATTAATAAAGAACCTCATTGATGCTACTATGTATTTAGAGCTCTGTTAAAATAAATTGATCTGAATTTATTGATATATAAATGAAGAAACAGGCTCAGTTGCTTCGCTTGTGGTGGAGATAAGGCAATCATAAGAATCAAAACTCAACTGAATAAAATTAGCTAGCCATCGATATGTACATGTATCGATGGTTATGAATGAAGAAAAAAGGAAAATGAGATACCAACATGAACAGCTGTTGTGACACAGATGACTACTCTTTATAGCCTCTGCAGCACTTACTAAGAATCCTTAGGAACGCTGTGGAATATAAGTGGATTCCACGGAATTCTGAGGGATTCTACGGAGTCCGAGAGAATTTTATGAAATTTTGAGGAATTAGAGAGAATTCTGACTTCCAAGATTCCGCTATTCACTTCTTAGCCAAACCGGTTGCCATTATGACTTTTTTACGGCATGGAAACCATTGTAAATTATAGACGTATTTCATTGTTTATGACATGGTGTCGTATGCTAGTAATAGTACTATGCGAAAGAACTTAGTTCACGACTTATATACGACTGTATACGCATTGTTTACATATATTTACACCATCATAAATGTCTGTATATGGCCGTTTACGATCATCGTGAAGTTAACTTTTCCAACACGATGATTAAGGTCACCGAGATGGCGAAAACCGATAATATATACTGTCGTTATATAAAGTTTACCGTCATAAACAGCTTTAAATTAGCGTTTGGTAGACGCAGTATACGATCATTTACAATACGGTAAGATACGGTTGTAATATTGCACTAGGCAAGCGGCAAGAAACCCTCTAAAACGGCCGTTTACGATCGTGTTTATTTGACTTAGGCTGAGTGGTGTTCACAGTTTTTTTAAGGTCTGTGAGCTACTTTCTGAACATTATAATACTTACCCGATTTTCGTGACAACACAACAGCCAAAGCAATTACTGTAGCAATAACAGCAATCACAATAACAGCTATGACAATGCCAACAATGACCTTTTTTGTCGTTGACCATCTACTATTCAATGAAAATAAGATGAAGTAAAAAAACAGATCATTTACTTTGTAGTATTGGATGTACTCTTCAAATTTGATTTTCTATATTTATTTGTTGTTGTTGACTTCTGTTCAATACGAGGCGGTGGCGATTCTGACATTATAGGTGAAACCTACGCGATTAATTACAACAAAAAAATAGATGTTTTTATTTTTATTTTTGTTTAACTCACCGATGTATTTGAAATAGTATAACTATTTTCATTTGATGATGCACTGTGATGAACGTTTTGATGAGATACTGGGGTTGGAACATATTTTTTATGGTGAACTATACCAGCTTTTGACATTATTTAAATTTGTCTAGGTTCAGATTATAGCTACAAAATCGAATACAACGTGCTTTCAGTTGATATTCACCAAGAAACTTATTAAACAAAAACCGCGATTGATCGAGGTTATTAAAAGTTGCATTTCTAGCCAATAATTATGAACCGTTGCAATCAGATCGTTTATTAGCCTGATACAAACCGTGTAGAACCTCAGTTATCTACATTCTCACTTCAGAAGGTTTATGAAAATCTAATGATTTCTCTCGCTCCTACAGATTCTACAAACCGTAATTATCAATTATTTAAAAAGTCTAATGGTTGCCGACCTAATTAGTCTCTCTAGATTTTTGACACTTATTTAATTCGTCTACAAGGATGAGCGTGCGTCTGCATGTGGATGTGGGTATGAATTGTGGAAATGTTGAGATTTTTGTGAGTGGTTTCCCTTCATGCATGGCCCAAATCCTTTTGTTATTATTCTAATATGGGATCCTCTCTATATATCAAGGATATGAGGGCTAACGTGATAAAGTACTTCACATTATTGCTACATCAGACAGCGACGGATCTAGGATTTTTATGAATGATCGGGAGCGATCATCATCATAAAACATGTGTTACAGCTCATTAGAGGTAGTATCAGTTTATTTTTAAGCTTTTTCCACTAGGAAAAAACCGAGAAAAATATTTTGAAACAGGGCGAGGAGCAATTGTCCCCAGTGCTCTATCCCTAAATCCGACTCTGGCAGGAGGTAAATTTTTATTTTCATTAATTTTAGTCATGCCGGATCATATTGGAACTATCGGAATATTTCTCGACCGAATCAGCTGGTTGAAATTCAGGACTTAACCGACGGAAAAAAATCGACTAGTTGAAATTGTTGACTTCACAGGCAAAAAATCTGTGCGCTTAATGTGTTAATTAAGCAATCCGTTCTACGAACACATACAATGTAAAGCTCCTATAAATCTTCAACTTTCTAATAGTAACAACTACTATTTTAGTTTGTCACGTATCATATGTGCTAACATTAGAAACAAATAAAGATTTCTTTCAAATCGTTTTATCTAGTAACTCACAATAATTAATATGGAACAAAATCTATACTATGCTTTGACTGACGTTTTACAATCATCATATGATTTCCTCACCCAGATGGAGAAGTACGGGCGGGTTCCCGCAAGAAAACACCGGAAGTCAACGGGACATGGAAGCAATATTCCGACCGGAAATTTTTCGGACTTTTTTCCGGTAGATTCCAGTCAATTCCTGTTCTTTTCGACAGAAACTGATTGGAAATAATCCGGAAAAGTCTGAAAAATTTCCGGCTGGAATACTGCTTCCATGTTCCGTTGATTTCCGGTGTTTTCATGCGGGAACCGGCCCGCACTTCTCCGCCTGGGTAGACCTCATAAAAAGATGATTTTGAAGGCTCAACATCTTAAAAATAGTTTGTTCGATCGAGCTGAAATTTTGCTTGGATGTATAGATCCGTGAATTCTGTTATTACAAAAACTTTCAGCTCATACAGTTGACTCCTTAGTAATTCTATGGATTTCACAATGAAACTGTTTGCTATGTCAGTTGATTTGATCAATTATATTTGGGTTGAATTCTCGTCCTCAATAGGAAACTATCAAATAAAAAAAAGTTGTTAGCGCAATCTCTTACGGGATTAAGAATGTGAAAGACGATGGATCTATTGTTACTAATTAAATGGACACCATTTTGTTCCATTTCTTCAAGATAAATTTGTAGCTTACCGTTTCTTTGATGCTTCAAAACTACATTTTCTCTGTCACGGTCTGTAATGGTCCCCGGAGGTTCTCTGTCACGATCTGTGATGGTCTCTCTGGGATTCTCTGTCATGGTCTGTGATGGGTATGGAATTTCTCTATCGTGGTCTGTGCGAAGGGGAGGGCGAAGGGAAGTGGGTCCAAAATTTCTACCCTATACACTTCAACACTCCTTTCAGATCGTGTTTCACAATATGAGCTACTGATGGCAAGTCTGAATCGATTTATTCAAATTTTAAGATATTCACAATTTAGGTATATAAGAGCCCGTCCACAGAAATTGCTCAATCGTGATCATCAGATTTTGCTCAATTTAATATATATGGTAGAGAAAATAGTTGGGAGAATTTTGAATCAAGGCGATTGAAAAAATATTGCTTCATTCTGGAGATACTAAAATTTTTCTGTGGGCAATATTGTGAGAAAAGCACAGTTTTGTAATTCTCACTAGAAATACATTCCCCAGTCTATCCTTCCCAACGAAATCCCCGGAGCGTCCCCTGAAAAATGCGAAATCCTCGGGGACTCATGACAGGGAGTCCCCAAGGATTTCGCATATCTGAGGAACTCCCTAAAACTTCGCGGGGAGTCCCTCTAAAATTTTGATAAATTTGAATTTTTCAGAGGATTCTAATGATGGCTTCTCAGAAAGACCCTGATAATACTCATCAACTCCGTAGGGAGTTCCTAGGAACTCCCCGCGAAGTCCCTAGGGAGTCCCTGAATCCCCTCTTAACTCCTCCAGGAACTCACGACAGGGACTCCTCGGGGAGGTTCTTCTAGGGAGTCTCGACTAGGGTTGATTTAGTTTGGAACTTTTACTGTGCATAGATCTCAAGTTGATGTACTTGTCAGAGGAAAATAGATTCAAACGAGTGAATTGTTGATGGATTGATCGTACTAGCAATTACACGAGAAAACAGTCATTTTTCCGGTATTTTGTGCATATGTATAGCTCATGAGTGGATCTTGTTAGAGAACTGAAATTTTGGCAATAGAGTGATCTCATGGAGTACCTAAGGGAATAAAAAATTCAGTTTTCTAGATCGTTTCTATTACTCAGAGGATCTTCCACAAAATCATGGCTTTGACCGCAATAACAATTTTGGCGAGGTTCGATCTTTCTAACTATGCGCTCAGTAGAAGTGGGACTCATGTGATTTTAAAGAACACACTGAGCACTACAAAGCTATGCAAGAATCAGCCTAGAATCTTCTAGAATGGCCTGGAGAGTCTTCGTGAAAAATACCAAAAAAATGACTATTTTATCGTGTAGCTGTTAGTATGATCAACCCATTAACAATTCATTCGTCTAAATCCAATTTTCTCTGATAAGTACATCAACGTGAGATCTATGTATAGTAAAAATTTTGAAGTTAAATCAATGTATTTTTGGTAATATATCAATGTCACAAAAAAATCACAAAAAAATGTGCTTTTCTGACGATAATAACCACATCCAAAATTTTACTATTTCGAGAATGGAATAATATTTTGTCAAAAGACTTCTTTCACAATTCTTAAAACTATTCCCTCTAGGACATATATTAACTAGAACAAAATCTGATGATCTCGATCGAACAACTTTTGTGGAAATTGATCATGACTTCTGTGAATTGGCTCTTATATATCAATATAGTCAATGCTTTCAAATTTGAATAACTCGATTCAAACTCGCCATCAACAGCTCATATTTTTCAATTTGATAGTTTCTCATTGAGGACGAGAATTTGACACGAATATAGATAATCAAATTAAGTGACATAGTAAATAGTTCCATTGTGAAATCCATAGAATTACCAAGGAGTCAACTGTTAGAGCTAAAAGTTTTCGTCGTAGCAGAACTCATTGATCTATACATCCATGCAAAATTTCTGCTCGATCGATCAAACTCTTTTTAAGATGTTGAGTCCTGAAAATCGTCTCCTTTAGGAGGTCTATATTTTAAGGACTTTCTGAAAAGAAATCATGAAAAATGGATGATTTAAGTTATTTTAAAACGATTTCTGCTCAAATTCATAGAAAGTCTTTTCTCCACATACTAAGAAGCTGCTGGCCCAATCCCTGTAAAATTAAAATGTGAAATACGATGTAGTTGTTGCTGCTAATTACATAAAAATTATTTTATTCGATCTATTCTGGGATATATTTCTTCGTCATCATTTATTTTATTCACCAGAACTGCAACAAGGAAGTAGTTCATATATTCTAATCAGATTTTAGTAACATACAATCTATTGTGGTATCTGAAGGGTCTTCCGTCACAGTCTGTGATGGAAGGAGGGCTTGTCACAGTCCTTTATAGAGGAGAGCCGGGAAAGGCATACTTCTACCCGATATATTTTAGCACTTCTTTTAGATCGTATTTCATAAAAAAATAGAGCAATCAAAATGTACTTGATAACAAAAATGATATAAAAAAATAGTAATATACAAAGCAGTGTTGGGAACACGACAACTTTATCTGTCCTATTCTATCTTGTCCTGATGCCTTATTATGTCCTGACAGGGGGCAGAACAGGATAGTGGAATCATCTTATCCTGTACTTATCTCTGTTTTCGATAAAGTCTCTTCTAGAAAAGGAATGGAAGTGATATAATAGATTTTAGGGTAAGAAGTAGATTTTCTGAGAATTATGGCAGAATTGAAAATTTTGCTGTTTTTGTATAGAAAATACTCTATACAAGGAGATTATTTTAACTTCAAAGCTTTATTCGGATTCTCGAAATGTGTTCAGTGAATGAAAGATATTTATAAATATATGTAGAGTAGAAAAAACAAAAAAGTTCAAAAAGTAGATATTTTCTGTCAGAAAACAAGGAAACTTAAATTCATTGACAATTAAATTCAGAATAATCAAGTATAAAAGAAAATTATGTTATTTTCTGTTCTTTCATAAAACTTTCTCATGACTTCTGCTATATAAAAGAATTCAATTTATACATATCATTTGTAAAGTATTGTTTCTAATTTCTTGAAAGTACTGTAATCTATGTGTAATGGTTTGAATTAGAAGCTAGTCATTTCTTACCTCTA